GTAGTAGTAGCAGTGCCAGCCCTGGCTTCCTAGAGTCTGGCTAGATGCCTATTATAGGTAATTGAGAGTAGACAGCGTCGTAATACCCGCGCACACTCTACTGTCACCTAAGACTAAGTTAGACGGTGTTTCGGACTGCATTGGAAAAAGCGGATTCCACCCAAAGCCTGCTCGGTTGTCTTGACTTCGGCCTTGTCACAGATTCAAGCGGTGGAGGGTTAGAGTGAGGTAGACAGCTGCGCGTCTATTTAACTTTAATCTCGTACTTTGCTCCATTTACCGTCTCTGCGCTTGAGCACATGGTGGACCTCGTTGAAGTCGGTGGTCATACAACACACGTTTAAGCAGAGCATGGCGACGTCAAGAGCAATGGCGTTGAGCATGCGGCTGATGAAGCGATCCGTGCGCGGATGACTGTACGTGTCCTTGGGCCGGTGTCATACATAATCTTGACCTGCAACTTATGGAAAATAAGGTATGCGAGTTGGCACGCACAGGCAGCCACACATGAAGTTTTGTGTGAGTGTGTGCGTGTGTGAACAAACTTAATGATTTCGTCGCCTCAAAAAAATGATTCACTTGGTTAGTCAGTTTTTCAATAACTACATAACTTAAGCGCAAGATGAGTTACAGTATGGAGAGTGCTGCATGAAACATTCCACAATTTAAAAAAGACCGTTAATCAACTGCAAACCATCATTGAGTAGGGTTGAAGTACTGTTTGTCATGCAGTCCCATTTCAATTATTTCCAGTCACGCTAGGATGCCGACTCTGTGATGAGCTTTTAAGACCGAAGGAAACGCTTCCCTTTAGAATAAAATTTAAAGAAGGCGTAATTTGACATCACATAAGTAAAAGAGAGGATTTGTTCGTGCATGCTCTCCATAAAATATATTTGAATTTATGAAGGCAGTCAAAATCAATGATAAAAATGCATGCTATTTAAGTAGCCATTTTTTACAAAAATCAGTTTTTTCGCAGCAGTCAAAAAAGCTCATCTCAGAATTGGTATTCTAGCGTGACTGAAAATGGCAAAAGTAGTTTATGTAGGCTCACTCATATACCCCTAGTCCCAGCATTTTGTCCACAAAAAAGGTTGTTATAGAGTTTTTTTGGGTGGGGGGGGTGGGGAACTAGGATAGGCAGAGAAGGAAATTTTTAGAAGTGTAAAGTGAAAAAGGTGTAGTCGAAGTTGCTTCCCGAGGCCGCTGGGAGTAAGTTGTTCCACATGTTAATTGAAAGTGTGCGCGGCGCTTCGCGCCGTGGACAATACCAATCTAACTCAAGAATCCTAAGTTGGACCTCAGGTAAGTTGCAGTAAACGACCTCCGAACCAAAATTTCAATTTTTCGGGAAATTTAAGAAACCTGGAATTTCATAATCGGGTTTCTCCGCAATAAGTTAAACGATAATAAACATTAGGAAAACCCACAGATATAAATCAAACACATTTTTAAAATCAGTAAAATAAAGATGCATTAAGCGTTTGCTAAGCTATATTCCACTGCGTGTCCTAATTCCCCATTCATAAAACCCTATAACCACCGTTTTAGAAGGAAAACGTACAGGGAGAAGGGATACATGAGTGGGCCTACATAAGCTACTGTTGCCCTGAAAATAATAGAAATTGGACTGCATGATAAACAGTATTGCAACCCTACTC